GCCGGCCTCGAGGGCCTCGTGCCATCTGCCAGGCAGTTAGTGTCCGAATTGAATTAAATAACAAAAAAACCACCCCCCAAAACCTCCGGATAATCTAACCCTAATCACAGAGGCGGCCAAGTCACGTAGTACAGGACAGACACTGTGCAAAGCCACACCCACAGACGAGGACACGCTATTTTTATTTTTATGTAGTTTTACAAGGCACTGGCTCTCTACCCACAACAATAGACGTAATGTATCCTTTTGGTCGTGCTACTTATGCCTCTGGGCTGGCTTCGCACACAGCTCTGCTCCGGTTCCTCATGCTGAATTTTCTAAAAGCGGTGTGGCCTTGGCCTGCACAGAATGCCCTGGGCAGCACTTGGGGAGCGACGCAGAAGGCAGGCCACCCTCCAGGAAGGGGTCGGGAAGCCCGTTTCAGGCCCCTCCCAGCCCCAAGGGTGAAGTGGGCGGGGCTCCCCCCCCCCCGCACCCCCCCCCCCCCCCGCACCGCTCCAGCTCCGCCCCGGATGCACCCGGACAACCAGGCACCAGCCTGGGGACAGCCCCCCACCACCCCCGGGCAGTGCTCGTCTCTGCCCCTGGATTGTGCCCACAGAGTCTCCATCCCAAGGGGCCAGAGGGGGAAAGAAGTGGCCAAGAACTCGGTGTTTCCCTCCCGCTCTGTGGTTCCCCGTCAGAACTTCAAGGGCTCCGCGCTTCCGGCACCGCTCGGCTTGTAAACGAGCTTTCTAAACGAGCTCTGAGGGCCCGATACTGTCAATAAACACGGACACCTGCCGGGTATATATGTTCACTGGCCGAGTTAATTACAACAAGGGGAGGCATTTGAAAATTTTAATCCTCTTTGCTTTTTACAACAGAACCGAAAGAGAGTCCACTTAATAACCAATCTCACCTGCTGGTTTCTACAAACCAGTTATCTTAACAGTATTTTAACGAACAATAATAATATTAGAACAATAATTAGGGAGAAAGTTAATTGGATGATACAGCTTTTCCACAACCCAACGAAAACACCTAAGAAACTAGAGAGTTTTTGGTCCCATAACCCGCAACCCCACCGCCTGCGTTTCACGGGGGCCCTGAGAGAGACGGAGAGTTTGCGGGCGACCCTGGGAAAGTGTCCACGCTCAGGGACGCCTCAAGGTATTCAGTACCTCTCTAGTCTGAGTTGTATCTTAGCAGCCCATCTGGAGAGTTAATTTCAAAATACTACTAGTGAAAACTCACCGTGGCTCTTTAGGCAGAGAAGCCTCCAGAGGAAAACCGCCCAGACGGGGTGAAGTCAGGAGGAACGGACAGACTTCTCCGCAGAGCCTTCAACCCTCCCTCCCTCGGCGTCGGGGCAGAGGTTTCTCCCGACATCACAGGAGTCCTCGCTCTCTCCCCAGGGCCACACAGCAGCGTGTCACGTCCGCACTTCAAAAAGGGGGCTTTTGATCGCCGAGACCCTCGGCCCCTGCGCCAGCCCCCTCGGCGCCCTGATGCGGACGGAAAGCTGCCCCCCTTCCCCGCAGCCCCTTAAACAACCCTTCCAAACTCCGGCTCGCCTCCCCCCGGCACATCCAGACGCCGTCTCTGTGCCTTCAGAGTTTTCTCCACCGAACTCTACTCGATTTCCAACCCTTTGGATTGAAACTCCATCCGGAGGATCTGGGACAGGCACCTCCCGAACTCCTCCAGGATCATCTGCTCCGCCAGGCGTTCCGAGCAGCGCTCCTTCTCGGCCTCCTCGCCCTGGGCCAGCAGGCAGGAGCACGTGCCTTCCACCACCTCCCAGGAGATGCACGAGGGCCGCCTGGCAGAGACACGGCGGTTACGGGCCGCGGTCCTGAACTCCAGACCCAGCGGGTGTCTGCGACACCTGAGACGTTCAAGGGGACCCCCGTCCTGGTATGTTAAAGAACGTCACCGGCTCCCCCACAGAGCAGGTAACTCAGCGAGGATGAAACTGACGGCCCACTCACATAGAGGACAGGTCGGACACGGTGGTCTCGGCAGGGCACCCCCCCCTCCCCGAGGAAACACGGGGTGACATCCAGGGCCGGTCAAGCCCGGGGGGCTGCCGATCCTCCCCGTCCCTCGCACCCACCCCCTGGACACACGCACTTTCTTTCCAAGTGTATAGACCGACTCTCCTCGAATTCACCTGCTTCCCCTCTTCTGACGGCGGGTGCACGGCACCTACCTGTCTTTTCTGAACTGAGGCAGTCCCGCGGATTCAGTTGGTGACAAGTGAGGGCTGCCTTCAAACCCTCCAGCGTCCGGATGGTAGGGCATGCTCATTAGGGTTTTCCGTTCTGGGCCTTCGTCATAATTTTTGCAACCAATGCATTTGCAAATAGAAGAACACATAATTTTGGCCTGGTAAGACAAAACGCTTCAATGAAATCAGACTGCTCGTAATTCGGCAAAAAGCAACACATTCTGTCTGGACCTCAAATAAGAGCGTGTGGGCGTGTGAGCGGCAGATACGGCATTTTTCACAAACGGAGGCTTTGCGGTGACCCCGCGTCCAGGGTCAGTTTTTTGACCCAATTGTTCGTCGACACAATTTTTCCCACGGCATGGGCTCCCTTCGTGTCTCGGCGTCGCAGTTTGGTCATTCTCTGGTCGTTGCCTTGACATTTTGGGGACGGTGCTCTGTGAGCAGCGAGAGCGTCCCAGCACTCAGATGGTGGCGGGCACTTTTTCCCAACAAAGCATTTCTTAACGGAGGCGTGGACGTTGTGTTTTCGCCCCCAGGCTACGGCACACTTACCAGACCACGTGTCATATAGACACGACTTTTCTATGCGCTTGGGAAGCCAAAACCTTCGTTTGGCTGCCTGACTGCGGTGATCTGGAACGGGCCCCGTGGGACCCCCCCCCCCCAGGGGGGCCCCAGTGGCGCAGGCCCTGCTGTGGCCCAGCTCGCGCAGGTGGGTGGGGTCTGAGACCCCCCCGAGGGCAGGCCTGAGGTGGGTGTTCTGGGAGAGGCCCTTCCTGCTTACTCGTGGGCGGACTTCCTTGTGTTTCTTGTCGCAAGGCAGCTGGCCCGGCCAGCCGGGCGACCCCTTCTCACGCCGGCTGGGCGGTCTGGACGCCGGCCTGCCCAGCGCTACGGTTCCCCGCCCCCTCTTTGTTTCCGCTGCTGGGATTTCCCTCTGTTCTCTTCAGCTCAGAGACGCACATCAAGAGGAATCCATTGTGTTTTACCTACACCTCTGGGTGTCTTGAGCAAGAGGCCTTTCAGGATTTCTAGCCTACTCTGGAGAATACGGGACATCTGCCTGGGCCTCCGGAAAACGGGCGGCTCACTGTCTCGGGCGGCAGGGAGGGCACGGCGGAGGGTGGCTGGAGGTGCCGTCCACGCCTGGAGATCCTTCTGCTGGGGCGATGCCGCTCTCTGGCTGAATTCGGCATCTCTGCAGTACCTCTGACCGTATTTGCAAAATCCTAGCCGGGGGATCGCTAGGTCTGCTCACTCAGATCTTCCAACACGTGTCCCCGGAACCACAAGGAGTCTTCTGAAGCCTGACCATCTGTGACTACCTTTTAAAAGTAAACTTCACAGGCGCCCCCCCAAGACGGCAAGCGAACCAAAGGAGAGCCTTTCGAGGGAGGGTTTCCTGGCTGCTTTGCTGCTGGGACTTGCGGGCTCCTTCCTCTGCCTCCCTGTCCTCCAACACCAAGAAAGGAGACAGAAAAGGCGGCAGGAAAGGGGAAACCACAGGGCGGGAGCGAGTCCCTCCACGGCCACCGAACCCTTGAGAAACGGGTTCGTCCAGGAACTCGGTCTGCACCGCCGTGTCCCAGCATCTGGCCGGCGGCCAGGGCCCGCCGCCCGCTCTGGGCTCTGAGCGCCCGGCCTGGGCACCCAGCTCTGCCAGGCAGGGCCCGCACAGAGCGGGCGGGGCCGGGCGGCGGGCAGCCTCCGCTGGGCGCCGGGGGCTGGGCTCGGAGCGGGCGACCGGTTCCCGAAGGGGCCCCGGGTTCATTTGCTTGACTCGGAAAGCATGGCTGGTCGTCGAGAAATTCATGCGGATCAACACGAGTGCACGACAGAAACCTTAGGGGGAAGCAAACGGAACCCGACTTCTTTGTTAATTACAGTGAAACGCAATTCTCTCAGCCGCAGAGGTTACTGAGGCCCAGATACCGACCTGTTGGTTTTCGTACCAGCCCCGGGGAGGAGTGACTGACCTCGTAGCACTCACAGTAATTCTTGAGACAGCCTGACCTCCTGCAGTTACAGCCTCTGTTGTGTCGAGGCTTCACGTCTCCCGGCGTCCCCTTCCCAATCTTCGGTTGGAAAGCTTCTGGGTTCCTATCGAGACACGCCTAAGGCAGAAAACACAAAACTCTGTCAGGTACCCCCCATTCTGGCAAGAGAACGTTCCGCGAGACTGACGGGGGCTCCAGGAAGGGCCCCGCGTGTTCTGTTCCAACACACGCACGCGCTCGAAGGCACTGCCTTCCCCCCGGCTCCCCCCCACCCCGCCCCCCGCTGCCCCACTGCTGCCCCGAGGTTCAAGGTCCTGTACGTAGTTACTGTGAAATCGCTGGATGGTAAAGATGCGGACAGGATGATTGTGTCCCCGTAGCCGTGTCTCCTTCCCGGCATGTTTTTCCCGAGACAGCGGGGAAGGTGGCGCTGTGCCTTCAGGGGCACCTTTCCGGGGGGGGGGGGGGGTTTGCGTGCACTCCCTCACTGAGTCCTCACAGCGGCCTCGGGAAGTAAACCCCACCGTTGTTTCTGTCTCACAGATGAAGAAACTGAGGCCCGAGAGCTTAAGTAGTACATGGCAAGGGACGGAAGGGGGTCGCCCGGCCCGGGGCCCCGCCACTGGGCCCCGTCCTGCTCGCACGACGCGCTCGCTGGGCTTTTTATCCTGGCCGCTCTAACTTTTTATCCATCTTTCCGCTATCTATCTACACAGACAAATGCGGGCATAGTGTTTTTAACGAAGTGATTGGGTACAGCGGCGCCTGGGGGTCCGACGTCGGCTCAGGTCGTGATCTCGCGGTTCGTGGGCTCGAGCCCCGCGTCGGGCTCTGTGCGGACAGCCCGGAGCCCGGGGCCCGCTTCCCATTCTGGGTCTCCCTCTCCCTCTGCCCCTCCCCTGCTTGTGCTCTGTCTCTCTCTGTCTCTCACAAATAAAAAATGAAAACATTAAAAAGACAACAGCAAACAAAGTCACTCAGGCCAATCCGAGCACCAGGTAAGTCACGGTAGCAGCCCTGCTCCCCTCCCCCCAGCCACAGGTTAACACGCAGGGTCTGTGCTGTCTGACAAGACCCTCCCGTCGCTGCGGAGGGTCCCCTGGGCAGCACGGCCTGGAGCGAGACTGGGGGACAGCGGGGCGTCATGAATGGCGCACGACCCAGCCCCAGAGGCTCCCCGTGACTCCCCCCCCCGTCAACACACCCGGTGGGGACCCCCGTGCCGACCTCCTCTGCTGTCCCCGCGCGAGCATCAGCAGCACGGCGCCCACGAGACTCCCCTTCTTCCTCTCACCGTCCGCTCTCTCCCACTCTACCGCTGACCGACACTGGGCTGTCCCCGGTGGGGCACGCGCGCTCACGCACACTCACGCACGCTTCCGGTGCCCCTGTGTTCAGGAACAACACTGCTGGCTCATAGCACGTGCAAAGGTCCCGCTGCGGAAACTATTGCCACTCCATTTCCCCACGTGCTTATGCCATCGTATGTTCCTACCAGCGGTGCTTGAAAATGCCAACGCTTTCAAAACCACATTTTTTTGTTTTTAATTTGAGAGAGAAGCGTGCACAAGCAGGGGAGAGGGGCAGAGGGAGAGAGAATCCTAAGCGCAGAGCCTGATGTGGGGCGCGATCCCACGACCCCGGGATCGAGACCTGAGCCAAAGTCACGAGTCCGATGCTCAACCGACTGGGCCACCCAGGCACCCCCCCAAACTCCAACACTTTTTAAATAAAACTTTATACACTTTTAGCTGTAGACAATACCTTTCAGCCCTAAAGAAAATGCCACACCACCGAAGTTTAGCGGCATCATCATTCTCTTCCGTCCCATGGCTCTGGCTCTATCAAAATGGGTAAGATACTTTCAAGTGACCTGTCTATAATCCAAGAGGGGAATTAAATTATCGTAGGGACAAAACGGAGCATGACAGTCTCAAGGCGACACGCGACGGCCCGTGACTTCCCTTTGTAAACCGGGGGCACCAAAACGTCACGCCCCACGCCCGACTGTCCTCCCTTCTCTGATGATCTTTGATGCCCACGGGAAGGGGTGAGCCGCGAGCTCCCGCATCCGGCCTGTAGCGCACACGGGGCCACGGAGCCGCCGTGGCCGCCCGAGGAAAGTCCAGATGCCCCCCCCCCCTTCACCCGGAAGCCACAGAGAATAAACACTGGGCACGTGTCGTGGCTGAGAGCCCCAGCCAGCTCTCCGTCCAGCCGGCTTCTACCCCTCTCAGACGCCACCCTCCAAGCTCGGCCTGTCTCCTGCATGATCGAGTTTAGGACTCAAATCTCTAAACCCCAAATGAGGACCAAGTGGACATCTGCACGCTCTTAAGTCAGAACCTCCACCGAAGCCATCCCACACGGTGGGGAACAAAGATCTTTCTCTGACTGCCGCTCTCCCAACAGCTCTCTCGAGAGCCAATACCCCACCCTCGGGGATCTCTGGAGGTAAGTTTTGTGAGTGTCTCATGCACGTGTGTGATGCATTCATTCATTCATTCATTCATTCATTCGTGAAAGAGCAGGGCGAGGGGCAGAAGGAGAGGCAGAGAGAGAATCCCAAGCAGGTTCCAGGCTCAGAGTGGAGCCCGACGCGGCGCTCGATCCCACGGCCCCGGGATCGTGACCTGAGCCGAAACCAAGAGTCGGACCCTCGGCCCACTGAGCCACCCGGGCGCCCCCTCAAGCACTTTTAAAGACCGTTAGAATGCGCGGAGTCAGTGGGAAAACGGTCACCTTAATGGCCTTGAACCGCTGGACTTCGTGATGCAGGTTGTTGCAGCAATTGTTACAGTTGCAGTTGTGGCAAAAGTCCCCGCTGGCAAAGCAATCGCAGTACCTGTGAAGCAACGACACGGCGGCTCAGAGGCCGCGATCGCCATCGACAGCAGCGGGCATGGGAAAGGAGCCGGCGTGCCGCAGTCCACACGGCTGCCACTTAGACGCCTCTGACGCCTTCCTGGTGAGAGCTACAACCCGGGGCGATGCCCTCCAGCGGCCAAGAGGACAGAGAGAAACGAGTCAGAGCCACTCGTTTCGTAACGTAGGAGTCTGCAAAGCAAAACGGTTTCCCGGACGCGTCAGCCGCTGCCCCGACCCCTGCCCGGGCGCCCGCCGACGCCCCCCGCCCCCAGGAGCGGCCCCCGCTGGCGAGCAGGAGACACACGTGTGTCACCCCCTGCTGTAACGGGAGGGCGTTCGTGGATCCCCGCTCTGCAGAACAGCTTTGCTGGCGGAATCCCTCCCAGACCGCGGCCACTGCGTCCCGGGATTCCGGGAGTCATAAAGGCAACGGCCGGTGACGGGTGGCCGTGCTGACGACCTCGCAGAGTGGTCAGCGTGGCTGGGCCTGGGGCTTGCGCGCTGAGACGCCTTCCTCGCCTCGCGTGGGAATTCAGTGTCGAGGCACGGACTCCCCCCCGTCTTACCCACAACGGGCCCCCCGGGGAGGTTTCACAAGTTCTCCTCCCGGACAGGTCCCACACCGCTCTCTTCCAAGAGCCTGAGGCATCGACAATGGCTTCAAATCCGTCTGTCACACCAGCTCTGCCGCCAGGTCCCCACATCATCTGCTGCGGGTTATTTGTCACCAGCGTCTCGAGTCATGGCATCTAAGCTGCCGGTCTCAAGGGGTCGCCCGGGGGAGCTGGGACAGCGTGTGGCCCTGCTTCCCATCCAGTGCTGGGTGAGGCTGGGAGGGGCCTCTGTTGGACACCGCGGTGGCCGGATGTCCGTACCAGCCTCGCCGTTACGGAATTCATAAACATTATTCTTTTATCGTGTATGGTTTTAACTTTCTTAAATAATATTTTTAAATGCATGTCAAGCCAAGAGGAGAGTACAAGAGATCATCAGAGGTGAAATAAAGAGGAAACTGCAGGGACGCCTGGGGGGGGCTCAGTCGGTTCGGCGTCCGACTTCGGCTTAGGTCATGATCTCACGGTTCGGTTCGTGAGTTTGAGCCCCGCGTCGGGCTCGGTGCTGACAGCTCAGAGCCTGGAGCCTGCTTCCCGTTCTGTGTCTCCCTCTCTCTCTGCCCCTCCCCTGCTCACCTCTGTCTCTCTCTGTCTCGAAAATAAATTTAAAAAGAGGAAGAAGAAGAAGAAGAGGAAGAAGAAACTGCAAACTTGGCGGGGGGGGGCATGGCTCTGTGGCTGCTAAGGGTTGTCCTGGGGCATCTGCTGGTCCCTGGTGACCCAGAGCCTGCTCATTCAGCAGACAGAAGACAAAATCCGGGCTACCAAAGGTGGGAGGTGCACCAGACACACACACACACACACACACACACACACGCCCATACAAAGCACAGACCCTTAAAGGGCAGACTCCCCACAAATCATCTACTCCACTGGGACAGAGAGAACAGGAGGAGGAGGCTGGTACCGAGAACTGACTCAAGAGCGCGCCAGCTCTGAAGACTGGGAAGCAGGGGGCCCAGAGGCTGCTCTGGGGCGGGAGTGCAGCAGGGTGGGATGGGAAGAGAACTAGTGGAAATGCTATTTCGGGGGGAGCGGGCCCCCAGGCTCCTGCCCCCTTCCAGCACCCTCCGCCCTCTCCATCACCGTGGCCAGAGACCGAAATTACTCTCTGGGGTAAAACAAGTGAGGGCTGGGGGATCACAACGGATCAAAGGAGGAAAGGTGAACGTGGAGCCCCGTGGCCCCTAGGATCCTAGCACCACCCTGGAAAAGCCTTCTCCGAGGACCCCAGCCAGCCCAGAACGACATACAGGGAGGAAGGGTCCCGCAGTTTCCCAACAGACAGATGGCTTAGTCACACGGCCCGACGGTGCGGCCACAGTGAGCAGGTCCCCACTGATGCACGGAGAGTCCCCAGGCAGCTTATGCCTCGTTCTTCAGTGTGAGCAGTGTGACAGCCGGAGATCCGCACACATTTCAGGGAACATTTTGACCTGAAAGACAGAGGACTAAACGGAAACGGGGGGAGCGAGGGCATCAACGGCTTTGGACAAATTAAGAAACAAGAAAATGATACTTAAAAAAAAAAAACAGGGTATAAAAATGATGTTCTGGAAAATAAAGAAGCAATCACATGAGAGGATTACCTACCTTAACAGACGGCATGAAAACTAGAGCGCCCACCAAAAAAGGGAAGCGAAAACACAGGATGAGTTTTCTAGGTCCAAAATTTTCACAATTAGAGGTCCGGAAAGAGAAGAGCTTTACGATCAAAGGGGCACATGGGCCCCTGGGTGGCTCAGTCAGTTAAGTGACCGACTCTTGATTTCAGCTCAGGGCACGATCTCACGGTTCATGGGATCAAGCCCCACCTCAGGCTCTGCGCTGACAGTGTGGAGCCTGCTTGGGATTCTCTCTCTCCCTCTCTCTCTGCCCCTCCCCCGCTCATGCACACACACGTGCTCTCTCTCTCTCTCTCTCTCTCTCTCTCTCTCTCAAAATAAATAAATATACCTTAAGAAAATAATGAAGGGCAGAAAATAATTTAGGAACATTTCTCAGAACTAAGGGGCACGTCTCTTCAGAGTAAAAGGACTGCCAGGTGGCCAGCGCAAGAGGTGAAAGAGACCCAAAGCAAGACTAGTTTCAATCACCTAGTTTCAGAGCACCGGGAACACAGATGGGATCCTACGAGGTTCTAGAAAGAGTAAAACGGATTTCATGCAAGCAGCAAAAACGAGAATGCTGTCAAAACTTCAATGGCAACACCAGAAACTAGAAGAAAAGGTGGCAAAGACTTCCAAATTCTGAAGAAAAACTGAAGTTGAACTAAAGTTGGAATCCAACTCCAAAATAACCATCTAGGCGTTGAGGACAGGCTCTGACGGGTTTAGACACGGGACGATCTCTCTGCACCCTCTCAAAGGACGCCCCGGAGGATGCGCGACGTCAAGCGACGCAGAGTCAAATGAGGATGACAAGGGGGATCCAGGAGCC